TTGTCCTTATTTCAGAGATCCCAAACCAAGGCGCACAGCGGTCAGGTAACTGGCCCAAGTTCACCCAGCCAGTGGCAAGTCAGGATTTGCATCTGGGAGAGCCTGGCTCAGGACTTGAGCCCTTACCCACCATGCGGACTGGCTGCCAGGGGGAGGGACCCCTGCTGGCTGCTGTCTTTCATCTATACCTCAAGGATCTGGTTGCTGAGGTCGCATCTCTGTAGCACTTCCAGTCCTGGGGTAGGTAGATGCCCCTAGGACCTATCTCCACCCTCCCCTGCCCCCCAGCAACTCAGAGGCAGGCTGAAATGTTCCAAAGGCAGCTTTCTCCAACATGAGGGAGAAACTAGTGGAAAATAAACGAGGAGAAATCCCGCAGGCGTGTTTCCAAGCTTAGCCCTCGTCCTGAGAAAGTGACTTGCGGCAGCGGTGAACGGTCTTGTCCCTGGGACTGCCACCTTTCAGTTTTGCAGGCATTCCCCCACACTTGGTCCCTCCCTGCTCTCGGGGACTCTTTCCAGGTAGACTGTCCCCAAAGATGCAGCCCCATTCAGGGACATCCTCCTCCTGTCCAGAACACCCTTTCCCGGGCCAACAGCACAGCCTGGCTGGGACGTCTCCTTTCTAGCTTCTCTTGTAGGGCAGGTGTGTGCTGGCCCAGTAGACGCCTTGTGCTTAAGTCAGATCAGGGATTTCTATCTTCCTAGCCTGGCATCATGTATCCTCCACACGCACTTGGGCTCCGGGGTCGGCACGGCACAATCCGGTGTCACGGTGTGGGTGTCAGTCCTGCCCAAAACCAGCCCTCAGATACAGGCGGGCAGTCTCCTTTATGCTCTGTGTGGTGTTCAGAACAGCGCTGAACACAAATCAAACTCACTGCCGCCCAGCCAGTGCCGACTCACAGCAAACCTATAGGACAGGGTGGAACTGCCCTGTGAGTTTCTGAGACTGTAGCTCTCTATGGAAGTAGAAAGCCCTGTCTTTCTCCTGTGGAGTGGCTGTAATGAGCAGCCCAATGAGTAACCACTATACCACCAGGACTCAGAGGTCCCCCAAACAACTGGAGAGCATGACATTTGGGGACTCCAACTAGGAATATTTTACCTCGTCTTTTCTGGCTTCAGATGGTTACTCATGTCCTAACGCTTGGGGCAGAATCAGCATCCCTCCATGCATGCACACGCAGTACTGGCAGCGTTCTGGCCGAAGTGAGCCGGTCACTGTGGCTGGACAGTCTCTGTGGCCCCAGCTTCCCAGAACTCCATCTCACCTTCCCACCACATCTCTTCATCTGCTCCGGCTCCTGGAATCCCTTTCTTACCTTTGCTTAGAGCCCTCCCCTCAGGGACTGATGGTTTTCCAGTAAGTCGGCCTGAGCATGTTTGGGAAGCCAGTTATCACGAGGAGGAGGAGGAGGAGGAGGCAGCAATGTGTTCTCAGGACCGATGCTCTCTAGTTTCCAGTCCTGGGCGGCACTTTTGCTCAGTTTTGCATCTAAGCCCTGCAGCTCTGCTGAGCGCTCCCGGATGCTCACAGTATCTCTGTCCGGCAGCTTGTTAGTTCGGCTCTTCTTGCTTTCTCCTTATTTGTATGAGAAAGAACAAATGCTCGTCATGTGCAAGTCTCTCCTTCCCGTAACCCTCACAACAAGCCTGGGCCGGAGGAACAAGCTTGAACCATCTAAGATGGCATTTTTTGGGTCAACCAACAAGGGTCAGATATCAGCAATGGCGTCTTTTCGACCTCTCAATACCAAGGAGAGGAGACAGGCGGGGGCGCCCACTCCAGTAAAGAACCACAGTCTCAGAAACGCACAGGGGCAGTTCTGTCCTGTCCCAGTGGGTACCTGACTCAGAATCGGCTCGAAGGCAGTAAGTTTGTTCTGGTTTATACCAGGCAGAATCTGGCAGCACAGTGAGGCCAGGTCGCTTGCCTGAAGTCACACAGCTAGAAAGTGTCAGAGGTAGGATTCAAGCCCAGGGGGTCTGACTCCAGGTTCTGGCTCTTGACTCAGTACGTAGCTCAACGACCAGAGATCAAGGTGACCTGCTCACCCTTAGTCACAGCTGCAGGGTTTGCCAGAGGCCCCGGTGCAGACAGAGATGTGGATTTTCAGAGATCAGGGGGTCTTGTGACCATGCTCTGCTGGGCTTCCTGAGGCCCTGAATGGTGCTCCAGTGGTTCAGACTCACCACCGAGGCCCCCACACAGCAAAAGAAGCCCGGTTGGACCCCCAAAGTGTGTTATCTGAGGTGGCAGAGGGTCTTGTTATCAACGAGCATTGCTCCAGGAGGAGCTCTAATTAGCTACAGATGCTGAGCCCCCTGGGCAGCTGGACCTCAGCGTGCCCTTGCCTGCAGGCTGGCCCTCTGCATAGCCCTCCCCAGACTGGCCCCCTGATTGTGTGGGGAGAGGAGAAAAGCCGCAGAGCGGGCTGGCCCACTCCACTGACAGCCGACACCCATCTCCCTACCCCACACTGTGGCCGGGCCAAGGACACGAGGGAGGGTGAAACAAAGCCCGCGAGGCTGTACCCTGTGGTCTTCCTGGAGCAAACCCCATCCTTCCTCCTCCTGTCCCCAAGCCCAAGATTAGAGACCCAGTTAAAGCCAGACCAGGGGTCTCAGGGCGTGACCCTGCCCCTGCTGGAGCGAGGTGGGCCATGTGCTGTGGGTGCTTCCTGGGTTAGATGCTGGGGTCTGTGGTCTGAGACAGGGGCAGGGCCCCTCCCTGGGAGGCCGTTCTTGATGAGCTCCACTGGCTTGTGTGTGCTTTGTTTGCCATGTGTGTGTGTGTGTGTGTGTGTGTGTGTGTGTGTGTGTGTGATCATCTCATGAGGCTCTCTGTGCGTGTGCACGTGTACTGACTTTGCTCGTGTGCGTCTGAGGGGTCTTCTGGGAACCCCAGTGAACACGTGCCTGCTTCCTGAGGTCCATTGACAGATTGGGGCGCACATGTCATGGGAGGAGCAGTGTGAGGAGCGTCCACTGGGGGCTTGGCCTGAGGTGCTGAGCGGGCAGGCTGGGCTGCCCGAGCTGCTGACAAGCCTCGGCTGGTGTTGGCACAGCCCTCCTCGGGGGCACTCATCTGTGTCTGGAGGCGGCTTTAATTCTCCCGATAAATGCCCTGTCACTTGAAATCGAGATTGTGTCTGCAGCCGGGCCGGGACAGCCAGGTTCATTTATCATCTGGAATCTTGAGCGAGATCCATCCTCCCCTTTATGACCCTTTCGGCTACGCTTCCCTGAGCTGCTAATTTCTCTCCATTCCTCCCAATTAGCTGTAGATTAATGGCCATTCTGGTCAGATCCTCCGTCCCCGGAGAGCTGCCACGCTCTGCTCCCCTGAAGCTGTCCAATCTGCTGAGTCAGCGCCGCGCTCTCAGGGATATTGTGTCTGGGGATCTGGGGGCAGGGGGAAGGGGAGGGGTCCTCCACCTGGGTCAGCTGCTGTGGCCAGAGGGAATGGCACAAGCAGCCACATCACGAGGTGGCTGTGTCCTTCTGTCTGTCTGTGCACAGCTCAGTAAGTGAGCGGCTTTGACTGCACGCGGGGCCCTCCCCGTAGTGTTTTGGGTCAAGGGACGTGGTGGCCAGGAGGTGTGGGCCAGGGTGGGGTGGGCCCCAGTGAGCCCAAGGACGAGGCAGTGTGCGGGAGGCAGGGAAGGAGCAGCCTCTTCCTCCCTTACCTGAGCGTCTTCTGGAGGCTCACTCACCAACGCCCCTACTCTCCTCCCCTAGGTGCCTACCTGGTGCCCTACCTGGTGCTGCTGATCATCATCGGAATCCCCCTGTTCTTCCTGGAGCTGGCGGTGGGCCAGAGGATCCGCCGCGGCAGCATCGGCGTCTGGCACTACGTGTGCCCCCGCCTGGGGGGCATCGGCTTCTCCAGCTGCATAGTGAGCTACAGTGGGGGGCTGGTTCCATGGGGGGCAAAGGGGCTGTTCTTGGCTGCCTGGGAGGGGGACTTTTACAGACCAGAGGCCTGGGCTGGGCCAAGGGCAGGGAGGGGGCCCTCAGCTGGGATCCCAGGAAATGGGAAGCTGGCTACACTGCCTAAAACAGGAAGCCTCCTTTGAAGTGGGTGCTCAGCAGGAGAGCTGAGACACATTTCTGAGGCTCAGGGAGGCATATCAGGCTGAGCCAACCTGGGGACCTCTCACACAGCCACTGTACCCTGCAGCCCGGCCCCCTGCCCCTCCCTAAGGGCAGGCCCTTCCTTTTGCCTTGGTTAAAGTGCAGGTCCACTGGCTAGGCAAGGGGGTCAGGGAGAGGCGGCTCAGCCCTAGGGTCTCCTTGGCATTTTCTTTGCTTTAAACACACACACATACACACACACACACATACCAAACCAGAATTTTTTTTCAAAACTATATAAATTTTTTAAAAAACCACCTTATCGCCTTCAAAGTACTCTCAACTACACTTAGTACATTTGTCGAATCTGAGATTCCATTCTTGCTCGCCTAGCAGGGAAAAATTGCATACTACTATATAATGTTTTAGTAAAGCTGGTACAGCGTCCAGTGACAAGCCACACCCCAGGACGTACATTAATGAGACGAGGGCCACGGCCGCCTGTACACACTTCTGCATGAGTAGCTTTATTAACTGCTCAGGAAACTGGGGCCTTTCCTCGGACCTTGTGACAAGAATGGGGGTTCAGTCTGCTGATGCCATGTCTGCCTTGCGTGAAGAAGCCACCGTGGGGTGAGGTATTCCTCTCCCAGGGGGCCATTCTGCTCCCAGCCCCTACAATTTCAGGAGGAGCTTCCAGTTCAGGAGCGGACGTTGCTCCTTAGTTCCTCTGAGAGCCGCGGGCCAGGCGGGAGGCAGCCCCAGGCCGACCTTCAGGGCCAGGTGGACGGTCATCAAAGCCCCCAGCTTGGGTCCATCGTAATGATCCCCTGCAAGCCTGGGAAGGCACGGTCCCGGGAAAAGTGGCCCAAGTCCTGGTGAAGAAGGGGGCTGGGCTGGAGCACCCAGAGTTCAGCACAGTGACGCCTAATGATGAGGAAGAAGGAGCAGCAGAACTCAGGGTCCCAGAGGCGTAAAGAGAGTGCCGGTGTTCAAGTCCGCTCTGTAAAACCAAGTTCCAGAAGGACCACTTCGAAACGTGAGAAAGGGGACACTCTCCGCACACAGCCCCCTCCCCGCTGTTGCTCACGAACCTCCCTCTCCATCTCTTGCCCTGCTCCCTGCTCTGTGGGAGTGTGACTCTCCTGGGACCTTCCACGAACCCCGAGTGAGCTCATTGGAACTGCCCTCCTTTGAGACGCAGTGTGACGGTCACCTTGAAAGGACTCACTGCTGGGCTGTCCGATGACTTCCCGTTGGATGTATTCTCCTTCTTTCTGAGCACATCCCTGCACGCCCCACCACCACGTTCCCCCACTGAAGGTTTTGCCTCCTGATCAGACCTGGTGTGTGATTCCCGGAGGGTGGGGGGGGGAAGGGGGGAGCATTCACAGCAGCGACTGGGGGCGGCAGACTCTCCCTCAGGGGTTGCTGAGCTGCCTGTCTTCCCTGCCTCCCAGGGCTCAGGCTCTCCTGCGGTCTCTCTCTGTCCATGAGCAGAGTTAGGGAAGGCTCAGACAGGAGCCCTGTGGCCACCCAGGAAGGCAGTTGGAACAGTGGAGACAGGGTGATCCTGCTGGCCTTGGGTGGGGACTCCATGAGGGTCCCCGCTCCTCCCAGGGGGCCGCAGATGAAGCTTCCTCAGAAGTAGAGGCTGGGAACCTGAATGCCCATTAAGGAAAAAGCCCGAAGACACCCATGCTCACACCAGGAAGCCTTTCCTGGGAGGGGCCCATAATTCTCCCACAAGCCTGGCAGCAGAGCCCCCCTATGCAGCCTCAGGCTGAAAGTAGACGAGGATCTGTGGCAGCCTGCTGCCACTCAGGGCATCACCTCCCCAAGGGTCTAGGAGTACCAGTTTCCCTGGGGGTGTAGTGGCTATGCATTGAGATGCTAACCACAAGGTCAGCAGTTCAAATCCACCAGCTGCTCTGCAGGAGAAAGATGAGGCTTTCTGCTCCTGTAAAGAGTTAAGCCTCAGAAAACCACAGGGGGCAGTTCTACTCTGTCCTATAGGATTGCTGTGAGTCAGAATCAATTTGATAGCAACGAGTGTGGTTTTTTGGGGGGTGGGTGGGAACTTGGGGTGAACCCCCTTTGTCTGAGGGGAGCTAACTGTGCCCTGCTGGACTTTCAGTGGCTGATTTTTCAGAAGTATATCTTTGGGTTTGTCTTCAAGGTAGACTTGAACTACCACCCTTTTGGTTAGCAGCCAAGGGTGTAAACTGTTTGCACAGCCCAGGGACCCAACCAAGCCCCATGCCCCCCCTACTGGGGGTATATGCAGGAGTGTTCGTGAGCCTGGGAAGCGTCCAGTCAAAGATGAGGGTCCCCTCCCAGTCCCTGTAAGGCTTGCTGTGTGAGCATCAGCCCCTGCAGATGAGCCGGGGCTCAGCTCAGGAGTCTTCAGAAGGCTCTCCCCCGTCTTCAGCGGCGTCTCAGTGATGTGCAGTACGGCCCCTGGTGACACAAGGGGCCTCTAGCACCCACCAAGGATGCAGCACACCACTGTGCAGGAAACAATGCCTTGTTTCCCAGGAAGCCCTCACCCCCTCAGCCAGCGCCCATGCCCTCTCCTTCCAAATCACCCGCCCAGGATGGGGATTGCGCTTCCAAGCCTGCAGACTGATGGCCGCTGAGAAGCCAGACCGGAGCACTGACACCTCTCTAGAAGCAAAGGGAGGGAGAGCAGGGTCCTCAGAAGGGAGGACGTGGGAAGCCAATCAGAAATACCCAGACAGAAAATCTCAAAACCAGGTACCGGTCTGGGGTCCTATTTGCCAAGGGGCAGACTGCTGAGCCTCCCCAGCCCTGGAGGGCGTCTCTGCCCCAATCCTGAGTCTTCAGGAAATGCCGCGGGGGAAGTGCTTCCAAAAGTGCCTTTTGGAAGGATTTCAAACCGAATAGGATCGGCATGGTTAGAGTTTGTTGCTTGAAGGAGACACGTGTTCACCGGTGAGCATTTCTTTAGGAATCCCCTGAAGACCAGAGTAGTGGGCGGAGCCTCCGCGGCTCCCGGGGTTGCGGCTCCCCCACCCCACCCCAAGCTGCGCTGCACTGGGCTCCGCAGAGGGGAAGGGGTGGGGCTGCCCGCCGGCCTCCCCTCCACTGCTCGCCTCTGTCCGCAGGTCTGCCTCTTTGTCGGGCTGTACTATAATGTCATCATCGGGTGGAGCGTCTTCTATTTCTTCAAGTCCTTCCAGTACCCGCTGCCCTGGAGCGAATGTCCTGCTGTCAGGAATGGGACGGTCTCAGGCAAGTGTGAACCCCCACCCCACAAGGGGCCCCAGCAGCTTCTTTCCCAGCAAGGAGTGTGAGAGATTTAGGATGTTGACTGGGATGTCACCCATTTCCTGGGCCACTTTAGAGAAGCCACTTAACCTTTCTGAATCTCACTTATGCCCCCTGGCGAGGAAGACCTCCCTCTGGTGTATCCCAGCAGGATGCTTGTGGGAACTGAGTGAAAGAATGAGTGTGGGCAGCAGCCTGGAGATTCTAGCTCTGGTGTGTCAGCTGCCTTGTATAACTGACACCATCGTAGCCGTCCTACAGGGGCCAGGTTACTGCCCCACCTTGCAGATGGGAAAGCTGAGGTTCACGGGAGACCTTCCCACAGCCACCACCACCGTGTCATTGAAGACCTGGCCTGAGAATCCAGGTCTCCAGGCCCCAGCACAGGGTCCTTTCCAAGTAACGCTAAGGCCTGTTCATCCCAATGGGCGAGGCCTGGAGGGAGCGGTGGGTGAGGATCCCAGGAGCCCTGGGGTTCTGCTTGCATGAGCCCGGTCTGGCCAGCCCTTCCTGCGCCACTGAGGCCGGGCCCTGGCTGCCTTTCAGTGGTGGAGGCTGAGTGTGAGAAGAGCTCAGCCACCACCTACTTCTGGTACCGAGAGGCCCTGGACATTTCCAACTCCATCTCTGAGAGCGGGGGCCTCAACTGGAAGATGACGCTGTGCCTCCTCGTGGCCTGGAGCATCGTGGGCATGGCCGTCGTCAAGGGCATCCAGTCCTCAGGGAAGGTGAGTGGGGGGTACCCACACCCGCATGGCAGAGGGTCTGAGAATGAGGGGTGGGCTCTGCTGGGGGGTGGCTCAGGGTACAGACGCTGGCTCCCAGCGAGGGGCCCAGACAATGGTGCTCTAGGAGTGGAGCAAGCGGGTGCCTCCAGGGACCTAGCTGCCCCGATGCCCTGCTGCCTCTGCGCTCAGCAGACGTTGCAGGAAAGGGAAACCAGGAGCGTGGGCCCAGGGACAGCTGGCTGGAATCTAGACTCTGCATCCTGGGCTGCAGGGTGCAAGCCAGCAGCCTGTCATGGCTACAGCCAAAGCGATACTCAAGCCAGCATGTCTTGTGCAGGAAGGGCCTTGGGGATGTTGGGGGCTGCTCTGTACGTGTCTGATGGTGGGCTGTGGTCTTCTGCTCAATCAGGGTCCCTTCTTACCCATCACATACTGGTGTTCATCGAGTGCCAGGGCTGCAAAGGGCATTGAGATCCTCCTGAAGGTCAACTCGCTCCTTTTATGAATGAGGAAAGTGAGACCCAGAGAGGAAAAGCTGCCTGACTCAGGCCACACAGCCACTCAGAGCTGGGGCCAGAACCCTGGCCATCAGTCTGAGCCCCCAAGGTCCTTAACCAGACCTGAGAGAGAAAGCGAGAAGACTCAGGGACCCCCGACTGGCTGGCACTGATGGCATGTGATAGGCACTGTCGCATGCATGAACACGTGCGGCGTCCTTACAGCAACCGGGCGAGTCAGGAATATTACCCATTTTACAGACAAGGGAAAGGTGGTCTTGGAGGGGAGGCACACTGAGCTTAAGTAAGGAGCCCGGGGCCACGTGGCTGGTACATGGTCGAGGCTGGATCAGAACTCAAGCAGTCACACTCACTCCCCTGCTTCCTGCTGGAACTGCCCTCCCGGGGATTCGTTTCCTCAAAGCTAGCGTTCTCTGGGCTTGCCCTCTGCGTGAGGTCTGCATCAGGCACAGGGGGTAGGGAGATGCACATGGTGCCGGCTACAGTTACAGAGGCCAGGACCTTCTGCTGAATCTGTGGTTTTTGTGTGTGTGCATGCTGGGAATCTGCCTATGTAACCTCCCAAAGGTCTTTTGTTGAAGGAGTTCTAAGGACAGGGAGAAGCTTTGGGGGCACACCCCCCCCCATACCCCCGGGGGTAGGGATAGACAGACAGCAGGCATGGAAAATGAGAAGGGAGAACAAAGGGTTCCCTCACCCCTTGGTGGCTCTGAAGCCTGGGGGGTGAACTCCCAGGCCAGCCTCCCAAGTCTTTGAAAGGAGAACACCAGCCCAGGCCCAGCCCAGGCCGACGCCAGCGTGGCCCTGCGCCTGCCTCCACCTCGGCTGAAAGCCAGGCATGTCGTGGTTTGGCCCAGGGCCTGGGGTGCCAGGTCTCTGCCTCTCCTGCCATCAGAGGAGGCTCGTGGGGCCCAGCTGTGATGAGGGTGGGTGCCTGCTGCGGGAGGGGCTCAGGCCCACAGTGTGTCCCTGCCCTCTCTGCAGGTGATGTACTTCAGCTCCCTCTTCCCCTACGTCGTGCTGGCCTGCTTCCTGGTGCGGGGGCTGCTGCTGCGAGGGGCCATCGACGGCATCCTACACATGTTCACCCCCAAGGTATGTGGCTCGGGACCCGGCTGCCCCCACCAGATGGCAAACTGGCCAGCTGCAGGGAGGAGGTGACAGCTGAGAGGAGCCTGAGGGAGCAGGCAGGACTTGGATGGGAGGCAACAGGGAACCGGATGGGGGAGCACATGGTGGGGGAGGGCACTGGGCCTGTGTGGCCCAGGGCAGTGGGCAGTGTGGGGGCTTCGTCGAGTGGCTCCCTGACAGCACCACAGGAGGGAAGATGTCTGAGACAAAAGCCCGTCCCGGAATCCCAGGTAATTCCCTGCACGGGGCAAGGAGCTTACTGCTGCCAAGAGATGGCCACTCAGGCGGACAGTGATGGGAACCACGTCACATCCTTTCACGTCTGTCTCCCCTTGGACTCAGCGGGGAGGACAGAGCAGGATCAGGCTCACAGTCGGGTGGCAGCAGAGGTGTGGGCGTGGTGAAGAGGAGCACCCAGGTGTCCTCATGTGGGCTCGCCAACGTGTGGCCTTGCCTCTCTGGGACCTTCAGACCACAGGCCGGCTGGAGCCGCTAAGGAGTCAGTTTCCGTTGCAGACTGGCATGCCCATCAAGGTGCCCCTGAGCAGGGAACATGAGCCACCTCAGCTAGCCAGGCTGCGAAGCCCACCTCCAAATGCCTACCGAAGAGTAAGCAGCCAGGGCCCGGCCGTTAGGGCAGGGGTCGGCAAGTCAGCTCCAGGCCCTCCCCCTTGACAACTTGCACGTGTGTTCTTGGACACACACGCACGTGACCGTTGGCACAGGGTGACACTGGCAGAGGCGCATAGATCTGCCGGGGTTTCCACGCCCCCCTCCTCCCCTCTTCTCCGGTCTTCCACTGTGATGTTGCGGGGAGGAGAGGGGGGGCACCAGCAGGGCATCATCCACCCCACAGTCACCAGACACGGCACACATGGTGATCGCCCTGGGCTCTCTTGGATGAAACATCTAAGCTTTCCAGAGGAGCCGCCACACAGGCCCGCTTGATGAAGCCCTGGGTGAATTTCTGCGGGCATGAACGTGCATCCTGAGCTGGGTAACCAGCCCGTCTCGGGTCGTTAAGAAGGAAAAATAAGGCAAAGCACACAGGAGCCTAGCTCTCCGAGGGTGAAAATGGCCATGGAAAGAAGGCCCGGAATGGCTTCAACCATGATTTCCAGACTCACGGTCAATGAATGTGTGCACCTGGGTTTCTCTCTTTCTTACTAACGTTATGAGGTGACGTCTATTTAGAAGGGTGGCAACACCCCTTGGTCTCCCCTGGCCTGTGGTGGGGTTGTGTACACGGTACCAGAGGCCCCAAGTCAGTGGAACGGATTGGCTTCCCGTCTGGGCCTACACAGTACTGCTCTCCACTCGATCCAGACCCTCTATAAAACCTTGCAAATGTGAAATATTTCAGGCCACGAACACATGTAGGGATAACGTAACAAGCACCCGTTCAAGTGATGGCGTAGCTTCATCGCCTTCCCACCGCAAAGGGAACCCTACCCTGAATTTAGAGTTTGTCCTGCTGAAAACAGAACACAGAAAAAAAACCCAAACAAACTGCTCACTGCTGACTCACAGGGACCCTAGCATGCAGGGTGGAACTGCCCCTGTGGGTTGTCTGAGACTGGAACTCTTTACTGGAGTAGGAAGCCTTGCCTTTTCCCCGAGGAGTCCCTGGCAGTTCTGAACTGCCGATCCTGCAGCTAGTGGCCCCACGTGTGACCACTATGCCACGAGGGCCCCTTTTAAACGTCTGCGTCAGAAATGTTCCAGGCGACAGGACCTGCAGGGAGACAGCCACAGGAAGCGATGACTGCATGGTCGAGATACCGTGGCCTACCCACCAGCACCTTCCACGGGTCAGCAGCTCACATGAATGACTGGTGGGCAGGCTGCTTGAAATGCTGGCACGATGCTGTTCTCTCTATCCGACTCCTAACCCGGGTCAGTGTGGGGCACAGGCAAGCCATCCTGCGATCTGTTCACCATGACACTGCAGGTCATGGTCAGCCGTTTAACCACCCAAGCTTCCTATCAAAACGATCACTGTCCATGCCTCTCAACTCGACAACTCCCTTTTGAGGCATTGACCTCCCGAGCATTGGCTGGAGTAGCAGGAGATTGAAAGTCACTCAGGTGACCATCCGCCATTGAGCCATTCGCTTCACAGACCATCGCAGATGCCCAGCAGGTGTGGGAGGGCTATTCCGGGCCCTGGGACCGAGCAGTGAGCCAAGCAGGCTCACAGCCTAGCCCTGGTCACGCTTACGTTCCAGTAGGAGGCTGTAGGCTATGTAGGACCAAAATTGCTGACAGGTGCTGCTAAGGTCAAAACCAAAGCAGAACAAGAAGGACAGCAGGTCGGAGAGGAGAGGGGCTGCAGGCTTCGAGTGTGACCCAGGAAGCCCCCGCCAAGACGGCGACGTTCGGATGATGACGTGAAGGGGGAGAGGGGGCAGGCCATTTGGATGTTTGCAGATCGCCCATTCATCCCAAACAGACTGAACAGGTACAGAGCCAAAAAAAAGAAACAACACCATCTATCGACACAGGGCGTATTATTCGGATGCAGCAAGGCGCGGAGGCTTGGCTGTGCTGCGGCAGGCAAGGTGAGCCCAGCAAGCAGGAGGCCGAGGCGGGGAGCCAGCTCTGAGCCCACATGTACTGCCCGGCTCCATTTGAATGAAGTGCCCAGAAGCCATAAATCCCGAGAGACAGGCCGTGCCAGGTTGTGGGACAGATGCAGAGTCCTGGGCACGGGGGTCTTGGGGGGTGAGGAACAGCTCTAACGTTGATGGTAGGGACAGCATAACTCTGTGAATAATGCAAAAACCGCCTCGAATTACTCAACGTTTAAAAAACCAAAGTCACGATCCCCAAAGCAGCAGAACGTGCTGGTGGAAGGGGAAGACGAGCCCAGCGCTGAGTCAACAATAGGGGTAGAATTCACCAGCCACGTGGCAGAGGGGGTCTGATCTGGGAGTGCCACTCGATCCTGGGATGCTCAGGAGGGCGACTGGGGGTACGCTGCTGGGTGGGGACGGGCTGTGGAGACATGGTCACTACAGAGTAGTAATAAGCACAGGTAAGCTCATGCTGACTTAGCTGACTGGGTACTCTGGCCTTGTGAGAGAATGGCCTGTGAACAGCCTCTCCCGCTGCCTTGTCTCCCTGTTCGCAGCCGAGAGCGGGTGAGAGGAGGGCGTGGGTTGGAAGCGGAGATGATGCTGGTGTGAAATCATCAAGTCAGAGACCTGGGGGATGCGTGGGCCGACCCTCAGCAGGACATCCTTCCCCAGGTCCGGCCCTCCTGACCACATGTCCAGAGTGGGCGAGATGGCATCGTAGCATCCTCTCTGCCAAGGAGCATGCCGGCAGCTTTTCTCTGATACGGGTTTTTTCCCCTCTCGCTTTTTTCGGGCAGTCCGTGGAACATTCCACATTCTTCTCTCACCCCACCATCCCAACACATCCATCCTCTTCGGTCTTTCTTATTCATGGTCCTTTCCTCATGCACCTGCGCGGTGATTGAAGACACAGTGGCTTGGGTCAGGCTCACCCTGGGTCTCAGAGCCACGCCCTTGCCCTCTCTCCCTTGGAAGAGGTCTCGGGCAGCCGATTCGCCCGAGGCATTACTTGATTTGATTTCTTACCCGCTGCTCCCATGGGCACTGATTGTGGATCTACGTAAAATGAAATCACAAACAGCTTTCGTCTGCTAACGCTGCTCATTGGTCTCCGTGTGAGGAGCGTGGCTTTCCTCAGGTAGAGCTGTGATGCATAGTGAAGGCCGGCTGTTCGGATGCACTCGAAGGTCCCTGAGAGGCTGGAGTGTTGAAACCCCTGTGGAGCAGTTCTAGTTTATACCCGTGGGGGTCACCATGAATCCGATCAACTTAATGACCATGAAAATATAACCACTTACCCGTCTTCCTGTCTGCCCGTCCTCCCATCCACCTGCCGTCTCCTACCCAGATGTCCCTCCAACATCACGGCTTCTCAGTGCCTTTGCCAGTCTGGTGCGGGTGGGAGCAGCCTAGCCTGAGCTGTGCAGGTGGTGTGGACCCTTCTAGGGTCTCCACTAGCAAATGTTCCCAGCCTACGGGCCACCCTGGTGCCAGCATCAAGGGTGTGCGTTCAGGGTCAGAAAGGAGAAGCGGGGTCTGTGCAGGTTCTAAAGTCGCAGGTGCAGAGCTTGGTGGTGAACCCCCTGCCCCCCCAGTTAGGGCGAGTGCTTTGCAGCCAGGGGATGAGGCAGCGGCGGGGTGGGGGTGGGGTGGGTGGGCTCTAGAATCCACCCATCTGGGCCAGCAGCTGGCGGCGGCAATGAAACAGTTCTGGAGTGGGCCAGCTCCTTGACCTCACCAGTCCTTGGTGTCCTCAGCCACAGGGCGGGGTGCGCCGTGGTACCCCCGCCCCCAGGCTGTCAGGAGAGCAGTCGGACTGCGCACGATGAGTGGAGCGCACGCGACAGGCCCTGGCTATTATTATCCTAGTCCCCGTCAAGGTGACACTGTTCTTGGGTAATGGGAGCCATCTGGTGTCTCCTGGCCCATCTGCCTCTGCACCGCTGGAGCTGCAGCAGCGCTGGGACACAGGGGCGGGAGTGTCTGTCCCCTGCCGCTCACAGGGGCCCGCTTGCTGTGTATTGACTTAAAGGGGATCTTTGTGAGTCAAATGCCCAGAACCAGGGCTTCATGCCAGAATCTCCACTCCAGGTGCGCTGAATCACAAGCTGCAATTTTCTTGAAGCAGTTTTACTGGTATACAACTCACAGATCATACAATGTGTTCTTTCAATCATATTAAGAAGACTTGTGCAATCGTCAACACAATCAATTTCAGAACATTTTCTTCTCATACTCGTAGGTTGGCTCGCCATTTCATCCCCCACCCCCTCCATCCCCTGCCATGGCCCTTGGTCATTATTCATCCAGTTACTGTCTCGATAGCGTCACCTGTCCTGGATTTCATATACAGAAATTCAGACAGAACACAAACAGGAAGCAAGC